CGGAGGATCATAAGGCATTGGCGGTGGCAATGGTGTCTTCATCGGACTAAACTTTGGGAAAATGTCAGGCCTCCGCCCAGGTTTAGGTCTCTCCCACTCCTAACATTATATCACAACGTAATTAAAATCATCTCTGGAGGAAAAAAAACGTAAAGAACATAACAACGAACATGAATTTCTAGTCAGGTTTCACTTCTATAAGGAGAATGGCTAGCAAAACGCCTCAACGCCAGCCAAAAGAACGTCTCTTTACATCGTACTCAAGTAGGTTCTCAAGTATTCGAAAAGAAGACCCTGATATGGTACAAATAAGAGTTTACATAACACCTAATGCAAACTACATCAATCACTTTCGAGTCATGAATAAGGGAACTTTTCTACTGACCCAGAACAATCGACTTAACTTAACCGTTAACACATGTTGATTCAGAGACAAAGAGTAACCAAACAGTAAGCCTGTGGAAAAGATTTATAATACAAAATTGCTTCAGACAGAAACATAGGTTACTACTCAACCTGAAAATCTTAGAAATTAAAGCTCTCGAAACATGAACTCGACCTGGATCATACAAGTTTCCCCAATCTATGGCTGCAATAGAGTTATACTAGCTAGATTCATCAAATTCGTGATGTAATTGTCAAACATACACCACCAAGGATAAGCCATGAAAGAAGCAGAAACATCGAAAATGTCAAAACCAAATCTGGAAGGTATAACAAATTTCATACTCGGGCACAACAATTCGACCAAAAGCTACTTTAAACCAAACCCTATTTTAATTCTCAATCATCAATTAAGCATCAAACGGAAGGGCAAATCGAGCTATTACTACCAAGGCGAATTAAATTGTGAAACTGGAAATTTTGTGGGAATATCCGAAAATTGAACCGGGACTTACAATCGGGAAATCGAGAGGATTACGACGAGTGAGCTTCTCTTCCTCAGGGGCCATAGCTACTACGTGGAGGTGATGCTTCGCTCTTTTAGCCATGTGAAGGCGAGGCGAAAAACGGCGAACGGAGGAGAAACCATGGACACGAGAAGAGGAGCAAACGAGCGAGGAAGATGAGGAAGTCTTGGTCGGAGATAGAAACCCTAGAACATCGAGCGAAGGAGAAGGAAGCAACCTCGCAGAGCAAAGCGAAGCCATGGCTCTGGACGGTGATATCTGTTTTCCACCAACCAAGATTTATCGTCTCAGCTTCCTAAAAAGCTTATGGCTGCGTTGATGTCACAAAAAAAAAACGTTTTATGGCTGCGTTTGCGTTTTGATAAACTGTAACACTAGGAGTTGATTGTTCACCCTTTTGACAACAATCATAGAAAACGCTTTATACCGCTCCGTGTCGCTCCAAACTTTTCAAATCCAAAAGTTGTTTCCTTCTAGCGTTTGCGATTACGAATATTGCGGTTGGATAATTATAAAAATAAAAATTAATTTTTTTATCAAAAAAAAAAAATTTACTTTAAAATCAAAATAAATATAATAAATTAAAAATTGATATTTTAATAATTATAATTATGAATTATATCAATAATTTAAACTTGAGACTTTCTAATTAAAACTCAATAACCTATCATAATTTTATATTTATAAAATCTTCAAATCGTAATTTTTTTTATAAATTGTTCTTGATCAATGATTAATAAATCTAACAAGATAAAATGTTTAAAATCACATTAATCTCTCTAAAATAATAATAATAAATCTTCATTAAAATCACAATTTTCATCTTTTTAATCTGGTCACAGTCATAATTTTCGTCTAAACTAAAATTTTTAAAAAGGAATATAAGAAACATATTCATGG